AAAACATCTAACGAACAAATAACGCTGAAATTAGAAATGTATCTTGTTTCCCTCTATCAAAACGGTTGCATAGAACATAACATAATGAGTGCCAAAAACATTATTTTCCCAATGTTTGCATGCCTATAACTCAAGAAATAGTAAAGATATCTTAAAATCCTTTTGGATGCTGTTTATTAACAAACTTTTCATTTGTTATTTTCATTTTTAAGTCCCTGTATGGTTCAGACTCAGAGATATGGGGATCTCAACGCAGCTCCAAGTGCAATTTGTTGCATTTTTCTCATTTTCAGTGGTCAAAAACTAAATGTGAATCACTTTGCACAAAGCTGACACTTTTTTATTTTAAAGAAAAACATCTAACGAACAAATAACGCTGAAATTAGAAATGTATCTTGTTTCCCTCTATCAAAACGGTTGCATAGAACATAACATAATGAGTGCCAAAAACATTATTTTCCCAATGTTTGCATGCCTATAACTCAAGAAATAGTAAAGATATCTTAAAATCCTTTTGGATGCTGTTTCGTAACAAACTTTTCATTTGTTATCTTCATTTTTAAGTCCCTATATGGTTCAGACTCAGAGATATGGGGATTTCAACATGGCTCCATGAGTGAATTAAATACAGCTGACATCATTACTGCAGGCCCAGAACGCTGTGCTGATACCTGAGCTTGAGGCCACACAACATGCATGATCTGCTACGGCTGGAACACCAGGAGCTTTTGTGTTTAAAGATCTCAGATCTGACCAGTATGTGTTTTTGCACAGGCCTGTTAACCCTGAACACTGTTCCCTAAATATACATAAGAACATGCAGCTCACACACACACACACACAAACAGAGCTTGTTTATACTGGCCTTGATTTGCGAACCGTGCCGTGCACTTCAAATGCATCTCATTTGATCGTCTTTTCATGGCTGACTCTTAACTTATCCGATGTGCATGTTTCTTTTAACAGAGGGCTTCGGAAGCGCCCTTGAGGGTTTAAAAACAGCCAGGCACCTTTAGCTCGCCCTGTCCACATCTGCAGCTCCACCCACGGCTCTATTAGCATGGCTTTGAATACTGAAGATGCACAGCGAGCCGTGTGGTGCACCAGCGCCTCCTCGGGACAGGGCCGGGACTGAAACGGGTGAAAAAACCCACAGATGCACAGCAGAGGAGGAACCCAAGCCATATACATATATATATATATAGACCAGAAGATCACAGATCTTTTCACGCCAGACAGGAAGCCACTATTTACTAACAACCTAGCAACACCCATAATAGCCTAGCAACCGAAAACACCACAGCCAATGATCACTGTTTCTATAATAAAACAGCATTATAACCCGGTATACAGTCATAACTGAAGAGTGAATCTCACGGAACCTCATAATTCACCGCAAAATCAAAAGATAAAGAATTACAATTATTTATATTTATATTAAAAATATAAAAAATATTTTTTGTATTGTGATGGTATATATATATATATATATATATATATATATATACACACACACACACACAC